TAAAAGTTATAATAATGTAGCCAAGTCCCTAATTGTTCATTACTTTACAAAATGATATTTGAAGTAATGATGAAAGGTTAAATTGACCACAGTAGTTAGATTTTCTTGGAACTAAAATAATTTGAAACTACTTTTATGAAGAATTGAAATAGAGTAATAGCACAGGCATTTGTTATTATCAAAAGGTTTTAGGTGATTTAAGGATAGAACCTTGGGTATCTATATTTTTTTGAAAAAAAAAATTTGGATCTTAAATTTAAGACTTGGGAAAGTAAATGGATAAATGGATGGATCATGGTTTTTCACTATCCATTTAAATGGCATCCATTTCAATCCATTTATTAAATGGTTTTAACTGGATTGGATCAATTTGATCCACTATCCATTTAATTAAAACTATTTATCAACCATATATTTATTTTGCCACTTTTTTTTTTTTTTCCGGAGACGACAACTATTGTATAACCTATCTATCCTAAACTAGAGGAGAGCCATTTTGCCACTTTTTTTTTTTTTCTCCGGAGATAACAACTATTGTATAACCTATCTATCTTAGACTAGAGGGGAGCCATTGGAGCCTAAAGAGGCTGTGTTTGGGGCTAGCAGGTACACAGACCTTACTAGACCAAGGGAGTGTTTTTGACACAACTCTTGGATTTTTTTTGCTGCAGGTGGGATTTGAACCCTTACCTACAGCCCAAGAAGGGATTTAAGACCCTCCCTGGTGGCCACTGAGGCAAGCTTAGTGGTTCCATTTTGGCACTTCTAGTTGTAACTTTTTCCTTGGAAAGGAGATTTTGTTAATTAAACTATATGATTTGAAATTCTTTGTCACAAAGTTTCCCTGTTTGATCTATGGTAAGCTGTTCAGAAAATCATTGATGATTTCTTCTTTTCCAACTATGGAGTCTTAGAAGCTTTTCAATTGACCAATAAATCTTAAATAGTGGAATCTGGTTCTTCAAATTTAAGGGGGAAAAAAAAACTAGTGGAATTTAATGGTCAAAAAGTGAAATGATAGTGAATGTAACTTCTCAGAATCAAAAAACCAATTTTGACGAATTTTGTGTTCAGTCTAACTATGTTATTCAAATGTTTTGATATATTTAATTGGTCTTACAATAACTAACTAAAAAATAATAATTGCAAACTGAAGAAGTAAAATATTTATGCTACTACATCGTCATTGACAAAACTAAGAGTTCAGCAAAACAAGAGTGACAAGAATTATTTATTTGACTTTTTATACTGCTATCTTCTTAGTCGTCATTTCATTAATGGTCTAAAGGGCCACAATTTTGTCTTTTCTTAAAGGGAAGAATTAGAGACAAGTGATTATCAAAACAAGCCAGAAATTAAGAAATGGAAAACAGCCTATAAAGAAAGTGACAACAGCAAAAGTGGCAGTCAGAATAGATGAAAATAGTTTCCTCTTATTTTATTACCCAACCACCACGCTTATTGGTACCCTTTTTCTTCAAGCAAAGTCAATACTGCAACACATATTATTGGTCTCGTGAATGCACATTGATAATGTCTTGTGTGTTTTTTTTCTTTTTTGGATGAGAACTCCAAATTTTTATTATCTAGAACTACTTACACTCACTAGCTAGCATGATTAGGTACTTGTACGGAATTAGAGACTCAAGTTCCATACCGATAATCCGAAATCCTAAGGCCTAATTAAGGTAACTCGAAACTTTTTTGTTTGTGATATTTTCAATTCATTACTTTATTTTTCAATTTCGACACATTTGATCTTTTACGTTGATGAGATTGTGTCAATCAAATACAATTGAGGAATGGTAAAGTATGCAAGTCCTGTGAACTTTCGTGGATACAAAATGTTAAGGATTATCAATATTGGAAGTAACACTTAAGCGTAGAGGAATAGGGAGAGTATTGGGTTGGGTAGTAAGATGCGAGGGATTATAATTAAGAGGTCATTGATTCAAAACCTCCTACTTATAAAATAAGAGTGAAAAATACAAAAAAGAATAAAATTATAATTTTCGTTGAATAAGTATAACGAGTTTCCTAAAAAATGCATAACGGAATAAAATTACAATTCTCTTTGAATAATTATAAAGAGTTTCTTATATCTAGAGTGCAAAATCAATTCATAATATATGCAATAAACCAGCCCAATATAACTTCTTAAATCCCGTTACTCCTCTACTAGAAATTTTTTTTTTTAAATAGATGGAAAAATTTTTTGGAAGGGAGATCTTCTTTTGATAGTTGTGTGTTTCCATTCCCTTTTCTTATATTACTGTCAATAAAATAAGAATTATTTTCCTTAAACAAGTGTGATGGAAATTAATGTTACCTATTATACTTATTTGTTTCGCGTGAAAGATAAAAAGAGAAGCTCAGCAAAATTTTTAAAAAAAAATCTCCAAATTCTCCTGAATTTTATCTTTTAAAATTTGTGCAAGAATTCCCCTTACATTTTCCCTTTTTAAAAATAAAAAAAAAATCCTTAAAAAATTCTTCAGAAAATCAAACAAGAATTAAATTCAGTTTAAAAAACGTAAGCAATATGTTTATGATGGCACAGTTTACAAACTGATTAGTAGAAACAAACCCTGAGATTGCTGCCAGTTGAATTCTGTAAAATGAAAGGATGATGAAGAAGCTGCTCAGCGGTCCATCTTTTTGCCATATCTTTCTGCAAACAACAAGAGATGAAGTCCCTGAACTCAGCTGATGCTGTTGAGAGATCACAAATATGACTTAGCTTTAAAGCAGAAATTTCCGTGTCAAGAGGAAATGAGCCCAAATACAGCTCAAGAATGCATAACCCAAGGCTCCATAAATCCCCTGCAAAGCCATCGAGCGAGTTTGCCCTCTCAGGATGAAGGTGCCTTTCATCTGATGGCCTAAGAAGCTGCAAAATTCGCCCGAAATACACAATTTTGACGCATCCCAGTTTAGTACTGGCGAAGAATATTCTTGAAGGCCTGATGTCTCCATGCACAATCTTTCTCTGATGGAGATGGTACAACGCCTCCAAAACTTGACGTGTGAGATCACTGAGAGAGGATTCATCAGCGATATGTGAGCCTCGGAGGGATTTGCTGGCAATGGATTCGCTTAAAACATGAATACCATCATTTTGAGCAGAAATTTCATAGCACTTGAGTACATTGGGATGATCCAGGCCCTGGATGATCCCAAACTCCTGTCGAATATCTCTCCAGATGGATTCGTTGTGGCTGCCATGTAAAACTGTTAAAGTGTGGAGCTGTCCACTGGCACGGTGGCGAATTTTGTAGAGCGTAACTTCCTCATCTTTCTCAATCAGGCCTGTTTTTTCCAGTTCTGTTGATTTCAGCAACAGAGTTGTGGATAACATCTTCAGGTGGAGCTCCGTTGGATTGATTCTTGAGTATGGGAAGATTAATACTTGAAGAGGGCAATTATAGTTATTTAGTGTTGCTGTTAGTAGAGGAATTCGGATTTCTAGAAAATCTTATTTAAAGTTGAAGACAAAACTCAGGTCGATTTTTTCCTAGTCTTCATTCAACAACTTCTGTTTAAAGCATGATAATCATTTAGTTTGAAAAATGAAAAAGATTGTCCAAGACTAAGAATAGAGGAATTGACCACGACTTTGCCCTTCCTTTGGTTTAGTGCCCCTGACGTAGGGGCAAAGTTTGAGTTTTGCAAATTTTACTTTATTTTTAATGCCTTTGTGGAAACTAAATCATTTCCCATATATTTGGTGCACTAATTCACTCGTAAGATAAACTGAAAATTGCTGGTGAAAATTCTAATCCCTCTTAGTAAAATGAAAAAAAATTATTGCAAAAAAAAAGTATATGTGCCATAACATTTTTGTTGGTCATATATTTTCCTAGGCAAGCATGCCTCTGATGGATGGAAAATAATCTCGACATAAACTCATTATTGAGATGACCTATGGAGGACTTATTCATGATTTAAAGATTCTTGGTATTTCGTCCTATCTGGCTGATCCACAAAGATCTTGATTTCCACAGGGTGTGAATGATATCCGTTGCTTCATGTTTTGTTGTTTAGGGGGTCTCTAAGGGTCCACAGATGGATCTCGCAAATATTTGGGTCCTATAGGGGTTCACATATTTGTCAGATGTTCCACCAAAGATCTGTATCAGAATTTGCACTCTCTGGTAGATCGTGAGACTGACATCCAGCACGGAAATTTCAGGTGAAAGGGGCAATGAGCAAACCAGCATGACTGTGTGAAATCGTTAATCAAACAATATAAGAAAACTGAATAGGTTGGCTTGAATTGAATAATTTGGTAATTCAGGAAGGATTCTAACTGCTAATAGGGGGAATATGACTGTAATTCTTGCATCTAGAACACACAAGAGTATAAGTCTTACCCAGATCTTGAAATTTTGCTTGATCGTGGCCAAGGAGTCCTTTGTTACTTAAATTGACTGTTGAAGAACAATAAATCTACAGCAGCCTAAACAAATGTGAAAGATTTGACATTGTGGATTTCGAATTATCTGGACAAACTGAAAAAGGTAGAGCCTATTGATGGTATTATCATGATCAGATGTACCTTTCCTGACTTCGACACTAACAGTTTTAACATACATCTGTTCTACTAATATTGGTAACATCCGTGACATTCAATCCATACGCATCCCAGTTGAGATGTTTAATATCAGGTACAAGAATTTTTTTTTTCAGTGTGGACTGAGACCGATGTGGAACGGTCCAGGTCGAGACCGCAACTTTGAACTGTGGATAGAAATCTTGATGGTTCATGTACCTAGTTTAGTTACAATGAAGATATTTTATCAGAAGAAATTGGAATCTAACTTATCAGTCAAACAACAATTATTGCATGGCGGCTTTCAATGCCAACATGGCATTTTCTGCCATAATCTGAGGTAATAATACAGTAGCTTGCCGGTAGACTGCTCATTTACTTTCCTTTTAGCTTAGTTTTTAATTTTGCAACTAAAGATTATTATATTAAATGCCAGTGGAATTTCAGTATCTGGTGAACGTGGAGGAAACGTCTGAATAACTGTCTTGACTTCCCTAGAAGCATGGTTCAAAGAATTCCATTCCAAGTCTACATTGACTACGGAAAATGGACAACTTGGAACAGGAAATTTGAATTCCAGGCTAATAGAGCGTGCATAAATATGAAGGAAATGGTGCAATGATCAAGAGAGTTAAGATAAACCCTTTTAAAGTGAAAAGGGAAACCAATAAAAAGTAGTTGGATATTTCAATATACTACCAAATTAACCAATGGAAGCTGCATTTCAAGCTGGAATTGCACAAGCTTCCTTGCAAGTTCTCCTTGAGAGGATTACCGACTTTGCTGTGAAAGAAACAAGCCTGATTCTGGGAGTTGATGATGAGATCAGAAGGCTGCAGAGAACACTCCAGAGGATTAGAGCTATTCTGGATATTGTCGGGAACAATCAGCAAAGCCTGCTGAAGCACAGCAGCACTGAAGCATGGAAGATGTGGGCTGCTGATTTGGAGAAGCATTCATACAGTGCTGAGGACCTACTTGATGAAATTTTGCTGGATCTTTTGCAGGTCGGTGCTGATCATTTGAATGAAGCTAATGAAAGCTATCAGGTGCGTAACATGCTTTTGTCATCTTTTAAATTGTCAATGCCCCATGAGATTGGAAAGATAAGGAAAGAACTGGAAGATATTGCTACTGAAATGGATAGTCTTGTCTTGACTAAAATGTCTGAACTAGGGTCATATAAATTACCAGCTAAATCATGCCTTACGAGCAATTTTTTTGCCAAAAGCACTAGTTCACTGGTGGATGAAGGGTTTGTAGTTGGCAGAGAAAAGGACAAAGATGAGATCGTCAAGATGCTGTTGACAGCAAATGCCAATAGGAGCAATGTCTCTGTGATTCCTTTAGTTGGTATGGGGGGTATTGGCAAGACAACCCTTGCACAAATTGTCTACAATGACAATCGAGTAGTAAAGAACTTTGACTTGAGAGTGTGGATTTCAGTGTCTGTAAATTTTGATGTTATCGGGATCACCAAGTCAATTATTGAATCCCTGACAGGTAAAAAATGTAAGTTGTCAGACCTAGATCCCATTCAGTGTAAGCTTCAGAGTTTACTCTCCGGAAGGAAGTTTCTTCTAGTGCTAGATGACTACTGGACTGAGAAGTATGGGGATTGGGATTCTTTGACTTGCCCTTTTAGAGTTGGACTTAGAGGGAGCAAAGTTGTAGTAACCACTAGGAGTTCAGTAGTGGCATCAATTCTTGGTACATTTCCAGCATATCATCTGAAAGTTTTGAATGATAAGGACTGCTGGGAATTGATGAAACAAAGGGCGTTTTCAAATAAGGATCCTGAGGAGAATATGAATATGGAAGAAATGGGGAGAAAAATAGCAAAGAAATGCAGAGGCTTGCCTTTAGCAGCCCAAAGTCTTGGGGGCATGCTTCATTTTCAATTCGATGAGGAGGAGTGGGAATGCATCTTAAATAGTGAGCTATGGGACTTGCCACAAGAGAAAAATGATATCTTTTCATCATTACTGATTAGCTATCATTTTCTTCCTTCTCATTTGAAAAAATGTTTTGCATATTGCTCCATATTTCCAAGGAATCATGAGTTTGAAAGGGACAAGTTAGTCCTGCTATGGATGGCAGAAGGGTTCATCCAACCTAGAGGAGGAAAGCGACTGGAAGATGTTGGTAGTGATTATTTCAATGAACTGATTTGGAGGTCATTTTTACAATTTTCACATGTCAATCTGTACAACCAATCAATGTACAAAATGCATGACCTTGTTCACGGTATGGCGAGGTTAATTTCTGCTAATACGTGCTTTTGCTTGGCGGAGGACATATCGTATTGGCATCCAGCATTGGCCAATGCTCGTCATATGTCTCTGGGTCATGCAAATCTGCAACAGATAGTGTCGAAGCCCTCCACTTGGTGTAAGAACTTGCGTACATTGTTGCTAATACCCAGAAACAGCAAAAGCACTGTGCAGCTTTCTTATGAGCTATTTTTGAAACTACGCTTCCTAAGAGCGTTGGACTTGTGTTGCATGGACATCTATGAGATTCCTGATTCAATTGAATACTTGAAACATCTTCGCTTTCTTAACCTCTCTGAGAATCACATCCAAAACTTACCTGAATCCATCACAAACATCCTTGGTTTACAAACCCTCGTGCTAAAAAATTGTTTTGAGTTCCTTGAACTTCCAGCAAACTTGAAGAAGCTTACTAACCTACGACATCTTGACCTGGATATAAAGCATCAGTTGAACTACATGCCATCAGATCTTGGAAATTTAGTCAATCTTCAAACCATGAATGCATTCATCGTTGGAAAAGGTAAAGGATGTGGTATAGGACAGTTGGGTAATATGAGATTCCTCAGGGGATCAATTTGCATTACGAATCTGGAAAATGTGCTCAGTGTGATGGAGGCAAACGAGGCAAATTTATGCATGAAGCCATTCCTAGAAAGTCTTCAGTTGGAATGGAATTATTCTGGTGATCGAATAGATCAACAAGAAGTACTTGCTGGCCTTCAACCACATCCAAATCTCAAGGAGCTAGCAATAACAAATTATGGTGGCTTTATGTTTCCTAGTTGGCTAGGTGATCCGCTGCTCAAGCTCAGAACTATTCACATCCGAAGCTGCCAATACTGCTCTGTCCTCCCATCTCTTGGGCAACTTCCACTCCTCAAGCATCTTTGTATTGAAAATTTGTCAAGTTTAGCAAGTATTGACGATCATTTTTGTGGCTTTGGTCCTACTAAAGGTTTTCCTTCTTTAGAGTTGCTAATCTTTCAAAACATGCCAAATTTGATGGAATGGAAAGGATTAGATGGACAAGATATGCCTCTCCTCCGAGAACTCACCTTTATAAACTGCCCAAGACTAACTAGTCTACCATCACTCCACAACCTGAGTTTCCTCCATAACTTGAACATCAGCCACTGCCCAAAACTTCAAGCATTACCAGAGCAAGGATTGCCAGTTTCTCTCCAAATCCTAATCATTTTGGAAAGTGCCATTATCAAAGAAAGATGCAGAGTTGAAGAAGGTGAAGATTGGTACAAGATAAAGAGGATCCCCAAGATAGAGATCGATTATGTACAGATTCCCATGGTAGCATGACAAGGTTAGTGGCTGCATTACCTCTAGATCCACTGTACTTTGAGGTTGTATTCTGATTACTACTGACAACAAAATAAAGTAGACGAAGCACATTTATTTTGTGGCTACAAAATGCATAATAACTTTCTCTGTCCTTTCATTGTGCTTGTCTAGAACTGTTCTTACTATGAGTCTCGATGTGCTTGCCATCACCACCGAGATCCAGCAAGTAAGAGAGTCAGCCAATTCATGAAAGATATGCATAATATTGTGCTCATTTTTGCTCACTAATGAAGCATCCTCAGTAAGTGGATTTTCATTTCATTGATTTCTTTTAGGGTTAAAACAACTTCAGAATTGTACGGATAAAAATTTACGCATATGGTATTTGATCACTTGTTAATTATTTAGTAAACTTCACGAGGAATGGACAATGTATCCAGATCATATGCATTAATAGTTTTTCCTGATTTTACAGCATAGAATTTCCACTACTCATTGTCATTAAAAATCTACTAGTATTATCATTAGAAATCTATCTCATTTACAGATCTCGGATTTTCATGCTTATTTCCTTCCAAGTCACATGATTAGCAAGTGTTCTCCTTGAGGTCATACAATACAAGAGGAACAATTAATACTCAATTTAACAGTTCTCCGCATTGGAGGCCCTTATAAATGCCCTGAATCTAGTAATGAACTTGATTTAATGCAGGTCAGTCGGAACTGAATTGCATAAAGGAAAACATGACAGTAGCTTAACCATCATGACTGAAAACAGGGAAACGTCTGGTACATTAGCTTTCAGAGGCAGCCGCTCTGACATCATGAAATGCTACCTTCAAGCTTTAAAGCCATTGTCAACCTTGAAGCTATGTGTAAGGAGCAGCTCGTGTTTCACTGTTAACAGCAGTATCCAGCTATGTTAGCACAGACAAATCAGAGTTCCAAAGATGCTGCTACTTTTTGTGGGCATAGTGTGAATTACCTCCGGATCTGTTCCACTAACTCAGATTCAGTGGGGGACAAGTCTTCCATTATACATCCCTGAATTATGCATGTCAAAGCCACAACTACCTGTGATCAAATCATCAAATACACCATTAGGTTAGAGCAGTTTCTTGCTGCATGTAGCTTTTGCAATGCAAAGTTTGTAGCAGATATTTTGGTTTTGATGTTTCTGAAACTATCCAGTTTCAAAATGTTGTCTAAGCTTGAAATGAAGGAGTCATTTTTCAAGTTTTCAAGTTCTCAGATATTTCAGTTAAACTTGATCAGAGAAGTACTGTCTCAAATGCAAGTTATTCCACGGATATTACCCATGGCGAACTTGCTTACAGAAGGTAATACTCAATGCACTCTTTCCAATCTAAAACCCCCTAGCTCCCGTAGTGTGCCCCCTCTAATACTTCACAAAGTGTGATCAACTTTAATTTCAAATCTTGAAGAAGTTTGAACAACTCTAGAGGACCTGCTTCTTATATCATTTTCCATATCGTGGTTGAACATTTGCCATTTTACTGTATATCTTCATTCAAGGATAATTATTCAGAATCTATGCCACAACGTCCATAGAATTACTTGATTATTTGAATTCTTCCATGCCTCCTTGCACTTCTCAAAATACAAAATTCTGCTTGAGACCTGATTTATATGGACTCCAATGTCATTCAGAATTTACAACTTATTCGTACGAAGAAGAGCAGCCACATTCATGCACATCCATTACACTTTAAAAAAAAAAAAGCCTAAACAGCTAAGAGGGTACACACGGCTTTCAAAAAAAGGAGCATATATGAAATAGGACTGACTGAAGTTCACCATGAGCAGCAACATTTATGGTATTTAGGCATTAACCTTCTTTATTCAGGTATTTGGACTTAACAGGAATTTTCTAGGCTGCTAATATGTTACTTTCCATGTTGACATGAAACTGGCTAATATCTTATCACCTTCAAGGTTAGAAATTATACCTTATTTATAGAGCATCTCCTATGTGGATCCCAGCACAAACATTTTTCTGTCAACTGTACCATCCAATAGAGCTGGTGAAGGTCATGAGAATCTTGCAATGCAGGGTCTATTAACTCATGAAACCTTTTTTCTCTCAATAGTGGTCTTGCCTGTTAGAAAAGAAAACAAGTTCACTGATAAGGTTGCTGGTCTACAGAGCTATTACAACATTTTTCTAATATAGTGCACCGCTGGCTGTCAGGTAATTCAAGATTTGAACAAAATCTCTGTGACATAGCAAGAGAAATAAAATGGCTGGCTACCCATCTCAAGAAGCTCTGACCATTAGTTTCATCTATGCTCTTTCGACCTGTGACCAACTCTAGAAGAACCACTCCCAAGGAATAAACATCTGCTTTACTTTTGCAAATTCCACTTTCTTCACATTCTGGTGCCATGTATTCGAAAGTCTTCAGTACCCTAGCTTCATATGATTGGTTTGAGGACTCGTACTGATTTTTTGCGAGTCCAAAGTTAACCAGCTGTCCAAAGTAAAAGAACAGTGCATAAAAGATTGCCATGTTCTTGTCAGCCAATCAAGCATAGTTCAAATCATTGGCTTTTAACAAACTAATCTTACCAAGGGCTGGTGGTCATGGGTTAAGAGGATGTTGCTTGGCCTCATGATTCCATAAATCTTTAGACTATGCAAATATTCTAATGCTTTTGCAGCTCCAAGTGCTATCTTTACTCTTCTTTCCCATGTCAATTCACAGCTTTTGTCTGCAGGAACATCTATCTTGATTAGTTGAACTGAAACTAAAAATAGCAAATAACTATTTCAAGTTATTGTAACTTTACTTGATAGATGTCGGTTGAGGGAACCATTACAAATATATTCATAGACCAGTAGCCTGTGTGATCCTACCGAACATGATCCTAATAGCATGGCGACATTTTCATGTCTAGCCTTCCCCAGCTTCTGAACCAGTTCGATAAACTCATTTTCTTCTATGGTTGGTGAAGTGTGTTCCCTTATAACAATCCTCTGTCCATCACTCAGCGTACCTTCATAGAACTTCCAACGGCGATCAGCTAATAAATTTTTTGCAGAAAAGTTGCTCGTAGTAAATTGCAGCTCACAGTAACTGAATTTCCTTGTATGTCCAATTTCTGCTCTTCTAGTCTTGCATAATGAACAGAGATAACACTCAGTTATGTCTTCTTGCTGTCCCCCTGCATTTGCCTCAGGTGAATTGCTTCTTTTTATCATTGTATTTTAGGTTCAATTAAACCTTCTTAGACTAAAAAAATGTGGTTGCTGGAGACTTACTTATACAAGCTTTCTGGTTCCTATTGCTTTGCCCAACTTCAGTTGCCTTGGGTTCTCTCATATACTTAATGCTGTTATCACGTTTGATTCTCAATATTCCACAAGACAAATTGTCCAGAAAGTACTTTTGAAACTTTTTGAGGTGCCTGTTGATTTTGAAGAAACATGGAAATTATGAGATTATTCCAGACATGGATGACACTATAAATTTCTTCTCCAAATTCATGGTTAATGACAATCATGATGGCCTGCAAATCAAACATATCGAGCTCATCTCAACTAATGTTTAGGAGTATAATACTTGAGAAAATCTATTTAAGGTCACACCAATGGCTTTATCTGATTGGGAATATCCAGCTGCAATTGAAAGACCATTAACATGTGCAGAAGATCTGAACTTATTAATCACAAAATGGCTAACCAGCAAGGTTTCTGGTGGATCCTTTACTTTATTTATCATTAGTCTCAGACGTTGTGGACCAATTGATCATTGGGTATTAAAGACAGACCAAAAAAATACTCAGTTCTGTAGTTCAACATCCACATTCATAGTTAAGATTATTGTGTCAGATGCTCAGGATTCATGAAGGGAATTTTACATCACTTTCTTCCAAGAGGATGGAACAGGAAATTCAATGAGGCATAAATGTTTGTGAGATGCAATTTCCTAGCATATGGCATTAAGAGACAGGGCTGAGTGGATATCTGCTATTATGACTTGATACCATAAACTGATTTTGATCTGAAGATCTGAAAGGTACCTATACCTTGTGTATCCAATTCTTATTTCAGTCCTGAAACCAACATTTATTTATCAAAGTTGGCATACTGGCCTCCTTGCAATGAAGGAAAGAGGGAGGAAATTCAGGTTACTAGTTGTCAAGGATTTTTATCCGAATATCATCTTTTATGATCTTGGCCATCTTCATTTTTGCTTCCTTTAGCAGAAGTGATAGAGGGATAGAAGGTACTACCTGTCAAGTATCACCATGGTGGCCTCAAATTTCTTGGCTGTATCCACTGCTATCTCCTTCAGTGAGCCTACATCCACCGCTAGTTCAAGTTCTACCTACACACGTTGAATTGCATCATTTACAGGACAAGTTATACTGCAAACCTTATTCATGGTATGTTATCTATATGGTAACACAACCTATTGCAGCTCAGAGAGATTAAGGTTCTTGTCAATTTTCATTTCTTCTCTTATAGGCAGAAAGACAGGAAAAGACATGGATATTGATTTGACTAAATAGGTGAAGTCAGAGAAAACGGAAAGAAAATTAGTTATATGTTCTGCAGTCAAAATGTTTATGCATGGACACTAAATGTGGTGGTGATGCAACAGATGAAAGTTACACGAGGAAGAGGTACCTGTTTCTGTTCAGCCAGCATACGTACTTCTGTAATTTTTGCACTGTTTAAAGATTCTTTCTGCGATTGAATTTCTTTCATCATGTCATTCTGTTTCTTCCTATGTGTGGCACTTGAGTGCAGTTTGCTTTTGTTCCTTGCTGCATACCACAGAAAACACAAAAGGGAACCATAAGAACTAAGATTTTTAAAGGAACATGAAGAATACATGACACCAAATGCATAATATTCTGAGAATGATTAATTGTATCAGAATACACAACATGAACCTGTAAAATTTTTGCTGTACGAGTCTATGTTGTGACCCTGCTGAAAAAGCTTAAAGCAGTTTCATGATATCAGATTTTCAGGAAACATATCTGAAAGATTTTCTACTTCACTAAAAATTGCAGATAAATTGCAGATACGTGCTTCCTCCAAAGTTGTTTGTTTTCCACTTTTACTTCAGAACAACAAAGATGGCCTTCTCTATTTTAGAAAAGAAATTAAGCTTTGACGTGTCAAAATGGAGGGGAGAACTAAACTGGCTCAAAACTAATGTAAGAAAATCAAATTTTCATCTTAACCAATTATCCTGGGTATTGCATTTGCTAGAAATTTCCGAATTCCCATATTGATTCTTCCATAACCAGTGATTCTACTCAGTATACAATAACAGAACTAAAAGCATTCCCCTTGGAAGAAATACTAATGCTAGTAGCAAAACTGCATCACATGCTCATTTTCTACAATGAAATTTTCAAACACCTGCAGGAACTCTCACCTAATAACATGCATCCAGTACTAGAGCATGTAGCTTCAGTCCTGAATGGCTGAATAATTCGAAGAAGCCTGATCTTGTCACCAATTTTCAGTGGAAAATTTCTGAGAGCAAATGTGACAGTTTCAATACCACAAGGCTCCACTGATGCATCTTGAATCACCAAAATCTTTTGAGCTGCACTGGACATGTTTCTGTTACAAAAGCCCCGCAAACCAAAACATCAGTTATAAACATGTTTTACTCCTTTGAGTACAACACTTAATTCATGTTTAACACTTCTACTTCAGAACATGAGATTAACATGCTATGTTGAGAGGTAGACTTTCTAGCATTTTAAAGTGACAGGTCATGCCTTACTGATGCGTATACCCAGTAGTAATTCCTAAACCAGTAATGCATTACTATCTCCTCTAAAATGTTATTTCAAGGAAAAATAAAAAAGATACATCACATGTTTATGCATTTAATCTACCCTAGTTTTTGCCATATTCAACCTCGTCACACCATAAAAAATATGATGATCATAGAAAGTGCAGATATACTAAGAATTGTATACGGGTCATACTTACACATAACAGATGTCACGGTTTAATAAAATAACTTACCTAAACAAGAAAGCTGTGGAAATGCAACAACTTATATATACTGGTGCCAGAGTTTGGTTCGGGATAAGGAATGGGAACAATCATTTCTGCATTTTATGTATAGCAAAGCCCACGACTTGCTACAATACAATTCTTTTTCTTGTTAGCTCTATGCTATCCGATTTTTAATCCAAATTCTTTTGGAATTTTATTGCAAGACAAGTCCAAGAACTTGGCCGCGTT